TTAATGACATGGGAGCATTGAATTTTTCCACACTCAAAGAGCAAGCACACACTGTTACTCTGAATGATTAATTTTAGATTAAGAGAAACAACAGAACAAGAAAGAAGAAAAGTCTCTATAAGAATGCACAACATGTGCCTCTCTGGACCCTGGTAAAACAAAAAAAGCAGTCATGTAGCACTTTAAAGACTAACATGATGGTTTATAAGGTGATGAGCTTTCGTGGGGCAGACCCACTTCTTCAGGGTCTGCCCCATGAAAGCTCATCTCCTAATAAACCATCATGTTAGTCTTTAAAGTGCTACATGACTGCTTTTTTTGTTTTACCAAGATCAGACTAACACGGCTACCTCTCTGTTACTTCTCTGGACTCTATGTCACAATTCTGCATCACAGCTTTGCAGAAGCCCCTACGGACAGCAGACAATTACAAAAATACAAGTGGAATACATCAAATACTTAGTCAAACAATTATATGCATCGCTTGCAATCTTCAGCTGCACAACAGCTCCAAACGCTACCCTGCCACTAAACACCCTGGTACAGCAGGGTCGACAGCCATTCCAGGCCTGGGGGCAAAGAGGGGGCAGCTCTGTGCCTCTGGAAGGGTTGGAGCTTCAGGCAAAAGGGGCATGGATGAAGGCAGTCAGCCCTTAGCACAACCTGGAGCACCATGCTGGGCGCTCCCCACCCCAACTTCGAGAGCCCCACGGAGCAGAGCTCCTGCTGCCTTTAAAAAGGGGCCTTGAGAGCCCAGCTGTTGTGGCAAGCTGGGAGCTCTAACCCCTTTTGAAATGCTGGGCTCCATGTGCAATTGCCCTCTTTACCCCATCCCTGCAGTTGGGGGGCCTGCTCCAGTAGTCGCACTCCACACACCACTGTAACTGTCTTTGAACAAACTATGCCATTTGTATCATTTGAAAATGAATAACTAACTGATCATTACTCTTGCATGATATTTATATGGGATAGATACTAAGAGTTATGGATTTATGTTGGAAATATACCTAAAATGTGTTCAAGCCAAGCATATCAGTGGGAGCTGGTAAAAAGGTCTGCGCAGGTCTTGAATACAAATGAGACATGGTTCACCAGAAACACCAGGATTGCAATTTAAAAAGAACTATTAAAGCTCACAAGGCAGTTTCGAGTCAGCATGTGTGGCTCAGTTTGGCCAACAGGCAAAGACAATGACGGTCCATTGACATGCCAGATAAACCAAGTTATCAAGCTAAGAAGTGGGGAAAGAAATGGCATGTCTACACCCAGCAGGCTGGTGGCATGAGAAATGATGGAAGCCCCATTTTTACAGAAATTATACTGAAGGATGGGAAGCCTACAGGAAGAGAAGAACAGCAGGAGACCATCCTGCCTCTTGAAACAAAGTCACTGAACTTTGGGAGATACAGGCAAGGATAGAAGCTATCTTTGGCACCCATCATTAGACAGATATAAAAGGCTTGAGCTCTTGCAAGCTAAGAATGATGGGGCCTTCGACTAAGGGGTGGCTGAAGTCTTGGGAACTGAATGTAGATGAGATATACACAAAGATCTTTCCTCTAAGACAACCAGGGAAGCCAGCACCTTGTACTTTTGGGGACAGTCCTGTCTGAAGGAAAGCTAGCCATTGCTGGGAAGACTGACTGGTGAGAGAAGCCATCTTATCCAAAGCCTATACCATGTGAGATTAAGTTTTAGTCTTTTAGGTGTGTGTTTTCACTTCTATTTGTATGCAACTCTTTTCTAACTTTATTCCTTTCACTATCACTTATGTCCTATTGCTAATAAATGTTTTATTTTGCTGCAAATCATCTCTGTGCTGTCACATTAAAGGGAGGAGTGTATTCACCATAGTTAGGTGATTTTTAGCTGTGATTTTTTTGGGTCTCTTTAGAGGAATAAAGAGATTTTACTCTTCTTGTGAGCTGTCCCACAGAGGGCTGGACACATCAGGGCAAGCAGTTTTGAAGTAATTCAGGACTGGGAGTATGTTGGGGTCACCATGACCAAGACTGGTGGAAGCCACAGTGGGGCTGCAGACAGGCTGCTGGGGTTAGACCTGGTGACTAGGGGCTGCCTAGAACACAGACTCTTGGTGTGTGCCTGCATATATTGGGGGACTGGTTGAGTGTGGCCCAGTGTGGAACTACAACAGCAAAACACTGAGAGGCAACCCAGGTTACAGAGCAAGTGACTGGACTGAACGCTAGAATATGACAACTGTGTTGAGTATTAATATAAGTATCAATGCTTGCTTTGAATCACCAACAACATTGTAAGGATAAGGCTTTTTCCTGTAGCCATGTTATAAGGCCTAAGGTTTTTTCTGCAGCTATATTAGAAGAGCAGCAGCCATTAGCTAAGAAGCTGGAAGTCACATCCTCACATTTCATCTTACTTACATTAAAACAATGTAATATTGGGCTGTTAAAAGGCGATCCTGACCTAATAGTAACAGTCACCAAATAAAGAAACAGATCTTAAGATGGTTAAAGAAAACTTTAATACTTTAAAGAAAACTCTGATAGTCTTTTGTCCGGCAAGAAACCACGTATCAATAGCTGTGGTTGTGAAATCCTCATTTCTTTATAGTTTTGTCATTATGGTTTCCATTTCTCGATTGTTTTTCTGTATGATCTTTGTTTCTTTGATAGCAAAATTAATTATATATCAGACAGAAACTAAGTATATTCGTTAAAATGGCTGGGATATGATTGGTTAGAGAATTTTGCTACAGCATGTTAGGATTAGTTAGTAAGATCCTAACTTTCCCCTGAATTTTTTCAAAGGTCAATGCCGCTCTGAATCTAGAACCTAACTCTTCTTTTCACTCTCACCTCAAACTAAAATACCTAAGTTGTGAACTTTATGTAACTCTTAGGCCAGGTCTACACTAGACCTGGAAAGTAGAATACATAGCTGGAGTCTGTTTACCTTAAGCCAAGCTTAGCAGCATCCCTACTGCAGGAGGCCGTCGGCTTCCCTTACTCCTCGCAAGGAGTACAGGCGTCAGCCGGAGCTGCTTTCACTGTTCGACTTATGGGTCTGTACTAGACCCACTAAATCAAACACCAGAACATCAATCTTCAATGTGGTTGAGTGAAGATGTGCCCTTAAAGTTATTTGATATGTTTGTAAATAGCTCTCACCTTCTCAAGAAGGGGCAGAATGAAGGTTTGTTGGATATTTCTGAATGCTTGATTTTTGGCTTGAATAGGTTTCTTTAAGAGTGCCTGAACCATACAAGTTACATTCCTATCTATGGCACTTTAACTGAGTATTGACATACATTTAAATGCCTACATTTTATTAATGCTACAGCCTTGGTATGTATTTTTTTGTTATACAGCTTAGCAACCTTAACTTTAAATAAAAAAGATTTTTCTTTTAAACTCTGGAAATATCCTCTAAGCTGTATATCACATAACCTTGTCAATCAAATTGAGATGAAAATTTAGATTATTGTTGTATGGAAAACAAGGTATTAGTTTCAGCTTTTTTGAACTGTCAAAAATTGCCTGATTTGCATATTGCCACAAATATGTCCCCTGCCCCTCAAATTACATTGGAGCTACCCCTTGTCTTCAAACAGGTAACAGATAGTAAAATTGTGTCTAGGTTTTTTTAGATCAATCATTTCAGTCACTCCTTTCTATACATTATCACCAGTAAGTATATATTAACAAAGACATGCAAGGATACACACAGAGATGAAATAATTAAGGGCCCTATGCAGCTAGGTGAAGAGCACTAAATAGATTTAACTGTACTCCCATCATCCAAATTATACCAAAAATAAAAACAGAAGTTATAATTTCATGAATGAACATATGCTGACTCTAATTACGGCAATGTTTCAGGCTAAATTCCATCTCCTCCCTCCTGCCTCAAATCAGTTACCAGAGTTATTCATTAACTTTGACTTGCTTTGTGACTGGCTAAAATGTGAAGTAGTTTGCAGAACAAAGCCAAGAGGTCAGGGTCAAACTACAGAGAGCTAGTGACAATGAACTGATTTTTTAAAAAAGCTGCTTCCTCATTTTTCAGCCCCACAGATAGAGTACTACCACCAAGCTCTGAAAAGTCGGCGTGCAGAATTAAAAGTACCTAAAAGAACTAAAAATACCTCTTACTGTCTCTCTCTTTTAAGAGGTTGAAGTATTTTGTTCTAATCTCTGGGCCAGCTGAACAGCAATTGCCCGAAATAACACTCTCCAAATCCAGTTCAGGCTGATCTTTAATCAGAGTTTATTGGTAATTTTGCAGATGGAGAGAAAGAAAGAGAGAGCTTAAAATAACCAACACACAGAACAAGGAATACCTAAACAAATCCTATGGCAATCACTGGTACCCTACTACTAAACAGTGCTCAAATATCAGTTGAAGAACCTGTCACAAAGTGGAAAATTCGCACTCCCCCTCACAGCCTATTGAAGTATCTCTAAGGAAAAGGTGACAGGTTAAGCAGATATCCCTTCTCTCTCTCAGTCTGACAAGGGCAAAAGTCAAGTCTGTATTAGTATTAGGAAACTGCCCCATCTTCAGTTTCCCAGCTGCAAAATGGGAATAATCCTCTCTCTGACTTTCTTGTCTATTTAGAATTTATGTTTTTTGGGGCACGGATTGTCCAAAGCCTAGCATGAAGTGACTCCAATCTTGATTGGGACCTCTAGATATCACAGTAATACAACCAATAAATAATTCTTCTCCTGCTCTGGATTAAAATTGTCCTTTTACAAACATAGTGGGCCACACTCTCTTCCTGAAGCAGAAGGCTACTCTGAGAGTCTCTTCAGGGAAGAGCAAGTGAGATGTAACAACTGGTTATGACTGCCAAGGACTGCTGGGTTAGAGGCTACCTGGGCTATCCAATGAATGAGCACATATGTTCTCGGTCTGGCCCAACCTTCTTTTTGGGGCAGCAACAACTGGCTCCAGATTACCTACCCACCCCTCTGACAGACCAAGGGCTACAGGCAACTCACTCCAGGCAGACTTACGGCCTCTAGGCTTACAGTTTATGTTCCGAGAGCAAAATCTGGCAGGACCCAGGAGGTGAAATGAGTCCATGTCCTATTCAGCAGAAAACAAAATGCAGTTATATAGTAGAGCAGGGCAAAATAAATAAATGCTCACACATTTTCCCACCATTATGTTTAACACTAATTTTGTGTTTTGTTTTGCAAAGTATTCGTTGCACTTAACATTTCACTTTTTGCCAAAAATGCAGCAAAAATTTTGCTACAAGGTTTTCACATTTTGATATGAAATTTTTGGAAGTGACTCGGCCAAACTGAGGGGTGCAGGAGGGAGAGAGCATGGGTGCACGTCTCATGTCAGAGCTGACTTAGGCCATGTCTACACTTATCAGAGATCGATACTGCTGTGATCAATGCAGCGGGGTCAATATAGTGGGGCTAATGAAGACCCACTAAATTGACAGCAGAGACCTGTATGATTGACTCTTGTACTGCACCAGAATGAGAAGAGTAAGTATGTGAATTGGAGAGTGTCTTGCTTCAGCACAGAGCAGTGGAGACACTGAGGTAAGTTGACCTTAGCTATGTTGACTTCAGTTACATTATTCAAGTAGCTGGAATGGTGTAACTCAGGTCAGCTTACTGTGGTGGTGTAGACATGGCCTCAGGAGTTCCCGTGTCATGTCAGTACCCAATCATTACAGCGCTGCTTTCTTGGCTGGAAGGAAAGCCGGGTTATTGAAGCCAGGGCCTTGCTGGTAGTCAGAGTAGAGGGGCATGCATTTGAGGAGTTCATTGTTGAAAAAAGTATCACAGTGAGGTGATGTAGTGCATTAATAATTCCACTCCAAAAAGGTGTGGGCCAAGGGTCAAGTTTCTCCTCCCTTTGGGCATTACAAGGGTCAGGGTTTTTTCCACATTAGCCTGAGAACACATTTATCTCCAGCATAACTTCATAAAAGTCAATGGCGTTATGCCAGTGAGTAATTTAGTCCAGTCTCATGGGAACAACTGCAGCATCATAACCATGGCAGACTGTAACCAAATTTCCATTGAAACATATGAAATGGATTAGACCCTGTCAGCTCCATTATGTAGTGATGGAGAGCCATGAATGGGACTCACAAGTCTGTCTTTCTACTAGGGAGTGAATTCACATTGTCGGAGGCCCCAAAAATTTATATTTTGAATTCAACCTATTATTAAAATGCTAAATCATTCATCAAAATATATCACCATAACTGTTTTTGTAATATCAGTGGTTTGTCTTCACAGTCTTTGAACAAAATCCACCCTTGCTTGCGTTTGGTGTCATCTTGCTGGCTGCACTTCGACGCAACTGTACAGTGTACAGAGAGCTAAAAAAGCACTTTGAGATGAAAGGTGGTATATTACTATTATTAAAGCAATACAGGTCTAGATGAACTACTCAATGACAGACTTGGGGAATTTATACTGACTCTCTCCATCTCATTCTCAATAAGCTTTTCAATGCAGTCCTTCCCTCAGATCAAGTGAATGTGTATTATCTCACTACTATTTCAGCAGGTACACTAAGCAAAGTTGGTTGTACATGCCAAGACCATAGAACCACCAAGAAGTTCTTTTTTTTCTGCTTAGCTGGATTTTCAGTCAATCGTATTAATTTCAAAACTGACCTTAAAAAGAAGAGTTAGAAGTAGTACATGAATTCTAGGAATCAAAAAGCTCTGGTAATTTATATAACAAGGTCTGTTTGCTAAGGACTCAGAATGTACTATTCACTGTTTCATTACATTAATAATGCAACATTGGTGGATGGTCTTCATTATTGCTGCTATAGCTCTTAGGCTATGTCTGCACAACCTAACATAACATAGTTCACGTCTACATAGCAAACATTTATTTTGACATAATGTTGAAATATTGTCGAGCTGGAGGACTTCTTACTCCAACTTCTGTAACCCTCACTTTACAAGGAGTAAGGGAAGTCAGAGGAAGAATGCTCTAACTCAGACTTTCTGTTGTGTAGACAGTGCCAAAAGCCAAAATAAGATATTTTGACTTAAACTACACAATTGACGTAGCTCAAGTTGTGTAGCTTATTTCAGCTTTAGCCCTGCTGTGTAGAGGTGCCCTAATTGTCAAAGGAGAAATGAGTGACAGATGAAAAGTCATATGGCTGCAAGAGCATAATGATAAAAAAGCAATTAAAAAAAGAGAAATGTTTATGGACTGCAAAGCACATGCTCAAAATATTAATTAACATGCTATGAAATAGTGTGCATAAGTTTGATAACGCATTGTGGGATTCAGAGAACATCATGACCCATGACAGTAGTGTTAGAGTTCATGCAATCAGAATACTGAGATGGAACTTCAGACTTCAAATTAATTGGGGAGAAGCAGGGCAAGATTCACTTGTACACTCCAGTTGCTTTATGCCACTTCTTTCATGAAAAGCAACCATGGTGCATTGCTCAACATGGCCCAGGTTGTTTACATGGAAGTCTGCTAGATATACTGAAATGCCAGTCAACACTGGATGGTTTATTTTTAGTGGTTAAACCCTTTCTCTCCTGCTCTACAAAAGGCTTCTAATCTTAGTGGGTGATGACATCCTACTCACTCTCTGCTTGTTAAAATCTTCACTGATGTATGACTGCATGGTCCAGATCATTACTACTATAATGGCGACTTTCATTTCTAGTCACTAGTTCAAATCCAGCCCAAGCAAGCAATGACCAATAGATACCATTTGATGACAGTCTGGTGTTATATGCCAAATTAGTTTGCTAAGAGCTGGTATATACTTGAAAATTATAGCAGAATAGCTGTCATTTATAGGTTTGATTAGCATTTATTTATTTAGCAGTTATTTCAAGATAGGACATAGTTACAGCAGTGTAGTTATTCCCTTTCCCATCCACAGGAAGAGGTCTACCAGCGAAAGAAAGCACATTTATGCCAGTATAACTATATCCACGCTGGTGTGCATATATATTTATGTGTAGATAACATTTTAACTCTACTGGTAGAGTTAATTTTCCAGGCCTTGCCTGTACTACACATGCTTTGTCAGTATAGCTATACCAGCAAAGCCTTCTAATGTAGATGCAACTTTTGCATCGAAGGCATTTTTCCATTATCATTCCATTACTACCTCCCTGAATGACACTAGCTATGCTGAGAGAAGCACTTTTCCAGTATAGCTGTGTCTACACTGTGGGGTTTGCCAGCATAGCTATGCTGGCTGAGGTGTGTGGTTTTTCACCTGCCTTGACTGACAGAGCTCCCCTGACAAAACGCTGAAGTGTAGATCTGACTAGAACAATGCCTTAAATCAGCTCTCAGTGGAAAAATGTTGAAATCACTAAACCAACACTATAACGATAGAATGAATCAGAGATTGAACTGTCCTCTCACCCCTGGAACTAGCCTTCACTAAAAAAAAAATGAGGTCATTTTAAATCATGACTTTGTAATCCGTGTAGACAAGAACAAATGGTGTTTAAAATTGTGTCAGCTAGCCAAGAGTAAGCTCTATTAGAATAAGTACTTTGCTATTTCCTGTATAAAGTAAAACTCACTAAAAAAACAAATCCAGCAAAAGTTTCATGTACACAAAGGGAAAGCTTTAATTCTCCTGCTATGCTTGGTTGTATAGGTTGGTGTTTTATAATGTTTTTTGTTCCATATATTATCAATAGTATTTTGTCTGAAATGAGCTTTAATTCTAGCTTAATTTTTATTGAATTTTAATGAAAATGTTAAAAGCCAAAAACAGGCACTAATTACAGAATTAACAAAGCATAGATTAGACCTACTGATAGACAGAGTAATTCCTCATTTAACACGGTAGAAACGTTTCAGAAAATGATCGTGCTAAGCGAAAACGTGTTATGCAGGGTCAATTTTCCCATTGAAGATAATGGAAAAGGTGGAGGTTGCGTTTCAAGCGCATGTGCGCTTGCAGCTCCAGCCTGCATTTGTTAGCAGCTGGGACCGGGACATAAGGTTGGGGGAGAAAGGGGACTGCGTTATAGCAGGGAGGGGAGGTGTTTGGCTCTGGGGAAAGGGAAGAGAAGGGAAGGGAAGGGAAGGGAAGGGAAGGACAGGGGAGGGGGCTTGCAGATGGGGGCTGGGTTTCCCCAGCTGGCTGGTCACCGGCAGCTGCGCTGGGATTACCCTACCTCCGGAGGTTCTCTGCTCGCCACGCCATTCCCCGGCGACCTCCTCTGGCTGGATGCCTCGTTCCCTCTCCTCTGTCCCCCGCCTGCAGCTGGCGGCTGGGTTTTCCCAGCTCGCTGGTCACCGGCAGCTACACGGGGCTTTGTCTGCCTCCTTAAAAAATGGCGGAGGTTCTCTGCTCACCGCACAGTTCCCCGGTGACCCCCTCTGGCCAGACAGGTCGCGTTGTTCGAAAAACGTTCCCCCCCCCCCAAAAATCGTGCTATTGCAAAAATGTGTTAAATGGGCATGTGTTAAGCGAGGAATTTCTGTAATTACCCATAGATGTCAAAAACAAAGCTGATCACCAAAGGTGTTTTTGTAATCTTGTGCATTTGTCAAATTGCTAAATATTCCTCAGGAAGATTAGGTGAATGAGAGGGTTCTGATGAAATAATGCTTCTGACATTGGTTCACTACTTTGTTCAATAGCATCCTGAGAAACTTGCATGGGTGAAGTCTTAAGCCACTATACGAATCAGAATTCTGCCTGTGGCTTAATCATGTAGTTGAATTAATTTATTTTAATAAATTTACCAGCTGTTTTATTTTTAACTTATCACTAGATGCCAGTACTATTTCTCCCAACACAACACATGTTAAATAACCCCAGAAAATTGCTAGTTTTATTTTATAATTTAAAAAACCCAGCTACAAAAGAGATGCGTGTATTTACTGAACCCTTACCTCCAAAAGCCCATCCTCAGGTAGATCTGTACAGTGGACAGCATTCTGAATCTTGTTTTTACCAAAGATGGCACGCAAGGTTCCAGGTCGAAGATGACGGGCTATTTCCTATTGAATATAAAAATATTAACACGGTGTGAAACTCATAGTATTGTTACATCATGGACAACACAAACATGTATCAAGTAAAGCATACATTCTATGTACAATATACCAAAAATGAAAGTTAAGACATAAATTCCAACTTGGATTTTATGTATGCATGTGGCTGAAAAGCTATGACCAGGATGGGAACCAAAGGGTGAAAACTCTCTTACATGTGTCTAGTGTAATTCCTAGATTCCAAGACCTGAAAGGACCATCCAATCTTACCCCGGGTATAACACAACTTTCCAAAGTAATTCCTAAATCCAACTTTTTAGAAAAACAATCCAATCTTGATTCAAAAATTCTCAGTGATGAGAATCCACCATGACCCAATGGTGAATTACTCTCACTGATAAAAAAAAAAATAAATAAAAAAATTTGAAGATATATGCCTGTTGCTCTCTATTTTTGTTGTTACATATACTTTTCTTTTGCTTCTGCACAAACACACACAAATAAATATGGTTCTTTTTATTTTTAATTAAGAAAATAAAAACCACTCAATTTATTCCTGTTCTCAGAGTTTATATTTCACATGCTATATATAAATGCTTGTTTTCATACTCTCTCCATAAACTACATATTTCATTTTTCTTATTTGCATTTTTCTTCTTGCCTTTAGCAGTGAAAATTGTTTTTTTTTTTTTACAGCTTTACCTCTAATGATATAGAAATGTTTGCCCCTTCAAATTTGCCACCTACAAAGATCATTAAAATGTCACAATGGCAACGATGGTCTTTCGCTGCCATGAGTTCCGGACTTCCTAACTTTTGTAAAGTTTAAAAACCCAGGAGATCATCTTCTTGAAAAGCAAGAGAATTCAATATCAATGATGATTAAGTCCACCATGAAAAACATCATGATCTTGATTTTGTTAAGAATGGCCCTACCTCACATGACAACATTCTGAGGTTGTTTCTGCAATATATTCTTGATAATTTTTTACTATAGCGAATAGTCCTGTAGCACCCTTAGGGTTCATCTAGACTACATTAGAGTGTCGAAAGAGAATATGCAAATTCCGTGGGAATTTGCATATCTTCTTCCGATTTCACTTTCAAAAGCAGAGCTTTCAAAAATGAATGTAGTTTAGACGTGGCTTTTTCGGCAAACTCTGCTTTCAAAAGTGAGATCAGAAGAAGATATGCAAATTCCTGTGGAATTTGCATATCCTCTTTCAACACTCTACAGTAGTCGAGATGAGCCCTTAGAGACTAACCAAAAATGTCAATGGTATCATGAGCTTTCCTGGGCACAACACAATCTGAAAAAGTGGGTTGTTCCCACGAAAGCTCATGATACCATTTACATTTTTGGTTAGTTTCTAAGAGTGTTGAAGGACTATTTGTTGTTGAAGTTTTTTCAGTTACACACCAACAGGCTACCCCTCGGAATTTTTTTACTATGGTTTTCACTACTATGGACATCGCTCATTGTTGCCTCAAAAGCATTAGCAAGGGATTGAATTAATTCAGGTAAGTCTATGGACTGTAATATACTTCAGGTCAGACTAGATGATCACAGTGATCTGTTCTGGCATCTATCCACGATAGAGCTTGAAGTTCAAGTAATCTTTTGGGACTTAAATAGACCAACTTTTAAAATGTGATTTTATTTTCAAAGCCATTTTCGACTAAGAAAATCCTTTCCTAGTAGCAGAATACCAAGGTCATCATTACAACTGATGCAGTGCACAACATTACAAGCTGTAGTTTGTCTGAACTTGGCCTGCACACCATCTGAGTAGTCCATATCCACCTCTGCTCCTTCTAAATCCAAGTCAACTAGTTTTGAGATCTTCTACTATGATCACTAGAATGCCTGGTTTTTATTCCACAGAGTCATACCATCTAAATGTGCTATGCAAGATGAGCCTAAGGTTTCCCAACCTGCACAAATCTGATGTCAATTTAGCCATCAGCAACTGTAGTGATAAGCTTTCTGTTTGTTTTCCTAAGATACTTTCAAGGAATCTAATTTGTTGTCTCTATAAAAATCTTTCATTTAATTGGGTGTTAGTATAGTTGTTCCAAGATGCTTCAACTCTGGCCTGCTAGTTGAAGAGTATTTCAAAAAATCTGAAAAACTGAAGTCAGGCTCCACTGTTAAAACACATGGTATTCTTGTTCTATTTTATGGAGTAATTAGTAGCAGGAGCTTCTTGTTGCCTAAGTGACGCATTTTCTGTTTACACATACTCCACATGAGCAGCAGAGGGGTCAAATCCATGGAAGGAATCAATATGAAAGGTCGAACACTCACTTCCAAGTCTTATCACAAAACTTACTGTGCTTTTTGACAATTTCATGAAAAACTTTTAATGCTTCTGACATGCAGCCAACTGATATGTAGATCATCATAAATTCTGGAATGAGAGTTTATATCTAAGTTCCTTATATTCTTTAGTATAATCTTCTGTCCCCACGCATTTTTCATTTTTTTAAATCAACACTGTGCACATATTTGTGTGTTTAAAAATCAGTGTGAAAACAGAGCGCAAGGACTGATTTGCATGTTAAATTGCCTGGACAAGGAAAAGACAGTCAGGAATGCAACTGCAGGGCTGTAAAAAAATGTATCAGATTGTATTTGTCATCAGCAGCACTAAGTAATCAATACTACAAAGCCTGCCCTGGTTTGGTTGACAAATTCAACTATTTCTTGCCTTTCTGGTAAAATTGCCTTTGAATTCTGACTGAAGCCTGTCCCTTTTGCAAGCTGTTTTATCCTACTTAAAATCAAACCACACTCTGTATTGTACCTGCAGCAGCACCTGTTTAAGATGGCAGGCAGGTCTACAAAAAAACTGCTACACAGGCTATTCTGTTCAGCTCAGATTTTTTCTCTTTCCTCTTTCGTGAGGCAATTAAATTCTCTTTGCTTTACTCCCACTCATTCCTTCCAGCCATCCTTCCCTCTGACTGGCAGTCTAATGGTGCTGCAGGTCTGCTATCACTCAATCTACCCACAGACTTCCTATTCTGTGGGCAAAAAAATTGACACACTTACTAGCCCAGATAGCATTTCTACTTGTCCTGTTCTTTTCTGATTCCAATGCTGGTGCCTAAGTGACTTTTAAAAGAAAGTTAATTCACTGTATTATTTAAGCGTGCTCTAACAAACAATGGGCCAAATTCAGATATGGAGGAAACAGGAGTAATACTTGTCCAAGTTTCTGGGTTAGATTCAGTGATGGAGTAAATGGTAAGTTACAGAAGAGGTATAAGTTGGTCAGAAAAATGGATATAAATGGTAAAATAACTCAATTTGAAATTCAGTAGGTCTGCAAAATGTGGGTAAATTACACACTGGCAAGTGGAAGGGGAATGAGCAGCAAAGAGAAATAAATAAGACGGTATAAGAAAAAGAAGATGCTCACAGTCTTTAAAATAGACTATTAGTTGCTCTGAGTTCCATTTCAAATCTGTCTTGGTTTAATGAATGACTTCAAGGAAGACAAAGTAGGTGAGGTAATATATTTTATTCTGTAGGTGACAGAGATAAACTTACACAGAGCTCTTCTTCAGGTCTGGATCCTGAGATCTGAAGAAAGCTCTGTTGGCTCGAAAGCTTCTCTCTCACCAACATAAAATATATTACCTCACCCACCTTATCTCTCTAATACCCCTTATATAAGGTAATGTACATGAATATTAAGAGACATTCCTTGGCCTAAGAGTTTACAATCCCAAGCAGACACAATAGACAAAGGATGGGAGAAAAAAGTATCTCCATTTTCAGAGCAAGAACTGAAGCATCGGGAGATTTAACTTGCCCAAGGTTACACAGGAACTTGCGACAAAGCTGGAAAATGACCACAGAGCTCCTAAATCCTCACCCAGTTTCTCAACCATCCTTGCTGTTTGCATTAATGTTGCTTTAATTCCTAAACAGAATTCAAGTTAGGTATCTGCCCAGTTTCTCCTTCACATCCCCTACAAAGAGCCCAAACCATTCCATCCAGAGTCTGCAGAAAGTAGATTTGTATGGGCTTTCTTTCCCTTGCTTGCAACACTGTTCCCTTGCATTCAATTATATCAGTTTTCAAAAACTGTCCAGTGTTTGGTTACTGTGCATTTTCTCAGACTACAAGAAAAAGAAACTGCTAAAAATTCTGCTCAGGTTACCTTGCAGCAGAAAGGAGAAAGCCAACATATACTGAGCAGAACAGTGAGAAACACCCTAAATTATTCATCCATAGCATGTTTATTGAGTTAATTGTTTTCTGTCCAGTTTTTTAAATGTCTTTGTTTAATTGATGGTTTCAGAGCTAATGAGACTGATGCCATAGAGTGAAAAAAACCTCATACTGCAGCTGCGCACGTTTGCTGCTCTCAGACGCAGCAGAGGTGAAGGATGGAAAAACAGAGATTACCTCCTTCTTTCTGATACAGAAGGATAACTGGCTCAGGTTGGAACATACTGACAACGTACTCTGAGCAGAAAACCCTTGAAAGATTCTCTGACTGCAGTAGTATGTATTTCTTGTGTTTCAATTACAATGGAGCAATGTGTGACATCATATGCAAGCTCTGCTAGGGAAACTCTGAGCCCATATCATATGTTTACTGTGCCCATTTCTCCCTGGAGACAATCCCAATCGTGCCTTTCAATGGTGCAAGCATAGAGTCAGGTCACAAGCAGTTGCCTAAGAAGCCAGCTGCAGCTTCCAAGGAACCTGTGTAAACTGGTTTTAAATTGCAGTCCATATCCTAGCCAATTCTTGTGCTGCTGGGAGTCCTACATAGAATGGGCAAAGTTCCCTCGAAAGCAGTCTACCGTACAAGTGACAAATCCTCACAGATATTCTTCTTCAAGATACTTCAACTCTTCAAGGGTATGTCTACACTACAAAGTTAATTTGAACTAACAGCCGTTAGTTCGAATTAACTTTCATAGGCGCTACACAGGCAAACTGCTAGTTCGAACTTAATTCAAACTAGCGGAGCGCTTAATTTGA